CTGTTCAAGGAGGCCCTGGGGGACGAGCTGGCGCGATCCATCGACATCAACACCATTGATGGGTTCCAGGTGCCGGCTGCACTGCGTGGCTGTGCGAGGGTTCGCAGCCTTCTCACTGTAATCTAGTCACGTGTGCGATCGTATCGTGTGGTGGTTGTGTGTGTGTGCTTGTGTGTGTGTGTGCTTGTGTGTGTGTGTGTGTGTGTGTGTTTGTGTGTGCGTGCGTGCGAGCGTGCGTGCGTGTCTTCTATTGCACTACTGCTGCTGCTGGTTGTTTGTGATGGGGGTTGTGGGACGCAGCTTGGGGCAGCTGATACCCGGTGACACTGCAGGCTGCAGACCTCGTCCCATCTCCCTGCTCTCGCACCCTTCTGCGCGGCTCGATCATCCACCTTTCTCCTGCCCCGCAGCCTGCACCACCCCCACCTGACCCTCCCCCTCCTCTTCCCACCCCAGGGTCGTGAGAAGGACGTGGTGGTGTTCAGCTGCGTGAGGTCGCACGAGGGCAAGAAGAAGAAAGGAATTGGCTTCGTGGCTGACGAGCGGCGCATCAACGTCGGCATCACGCGCGCGCGGTTGGTGGCCGCGAGCTGGGTCGCCTTCTGGGGAGGGGTGCGGGACAGTCGAACGCGAAATCCGACTCCTTACTCCAACCCTCTTGCGCTGTTTCTCTGCTGCCGTGCAGCGGAGGGCGATGGTGCAAGGCATTCGCGGCCGCCGCCATGGCTGCTCCCAGCCTTCTGTTGTCGCCTGTGCTCCGTCGAAAGGGCCCGTGCCAAGAGACCCTGGACACAGGCTTCCCTGGCCTCACCGCCCGATTTCGCCCCACCCTAACAACTCATCTTGCTAATTTGATCCCAACACGCGACACCCAGGTGCGCTATGCTGGTGGTGGGCAACGCGCGGTCGCTCTGCGTTGACGAGCGGTGGCGCAACATGGTGGCGAGCGCGCTCGAGAGGGGCATGGCGTGGCAGACTGCAAAACCCTTTGACGACTTTGTGGGGCAGGTACGTGAGGCTGAAAGGGTCGGGTAACGGCGCATCGTCGTGGGCGAACGCTTGGGGGGGGGGACGCAGGTGCAGGAGCGCATCTGGGCGCCTTGACTGCGCACTGCCAGTCAGCAAGGGCAGCAGAGAGTAGCCCACTCTCTTTCCATTCGAAGCCTCCGCCTGCAGCACTTCCACCCCTCCCCTGTCCTTACCTGCCTGTAAGCCCCTGCACGCACTCGCGTCCCGCACACAAATGAACACATGCACGCACACAACACATGCACACACAGGCGTGCGTGCGCCTGCGCACGTACTCGCGCGTGCGCTTGCGCACACACATACACACGCACACAAACAAGCAAACACACACACACACACATACACACACACACACACACAAAAATGCGCGCGTCCGTGTCATCGTGCAGGCAGCATCGGGCGAGCTGGCCCCAATGGAGGACTGCCCAGCCTCCCGCGACCGCCTCGGCCTCTCAGGGGCAGAGGCCGCCGCCAAGGTGGCGGCCGCAGAGGAGGCTGCGGCGGCGCGCTTTGACATCAACGCCCCCGTCACCGCCGCCGTGGACCACTGGCACGGGGACGAAGTCCTCGCGGATGACTACTTTGGGGACGGCGGTGATGCGGGCGGCGCCGGTCAGGGTGCTGTGGCGAGTGAACAGCGGTTGGTGGGGTTGGCTCATGAGGTCGCGGGATCGGAGGAAGACGGGCCCGCGCGGGAGGAAGAGGGGGAGGAGGGGACCGAGCAGGAACAGCAGCAGGAGCAGCAGCAGCAGCAGCAGCAGCAGCAGCAGCAGCAGCAGCAGCAGGCCAGGGGGAAGGGCAAGCAGGGCAAGGGTGCGGCAGGTGCCAAGGCGACGGCAGCGGCGCCTGCAGCGCCAGAGGAGCCGGGGGCGGTGGCCAAGAAGCGGCGCGGGGCGGCCGCCGCCGGCGATGCCGCTGTCCCGCCAGCTGCGGGCAGCAAGCGGTCGCGGCGGTAGCTGCTGCGCCCTGCGCTGGTCCTGGCGCAGGGTGGCTTGGCAGGCGCGTGGCAATGCTCGCTGCTGTGTCCTTTGGCAGTTCCCTCTGTTGTTAAATCACACCTGCCCGTGACATTGTCGCACGTCCCGAGAGGTCCCTTCTTTCGACGCAAGCGAGTCAGCGGGCAGCAACCCAGCCGAGCCCATCAGGGCGGCAGCGGGATTATTATTTGTAGCAACTTCATCAAATTGTCAACAGCCGCCTCGCTAAGCCGCGTGTACACCCAGAGCACGCAGCGGGGGGGGGGGGGCGTCAAACCCTTGCAACACCAGCGCACCATCTGCGGCGCAACGCCGGCAGTGCAGGCTGTGCCTCACTGGTCAGGCATGCAACACTGGTGTGGCGACACAGGATAAGCTGCAGTGCGGCAGGCGTCCCCATGTTGCGACAGGCGTCCCCATGTGCCGCACGCTTCCGGCGTGCCACGTTGCCTTGGCAGGTGTTGGCTGCCTCTACGGTCCTGCCCTCGTCCAGAATCGGCACCTTTCAGGGCATGTATGCGCCGTCCACATGATTGCGTGAGTCTGGTGATGTTCGTTTCACTCAGACCTGGGGCCAACTGGTTGTGCTACATTGAAGCCCCCCAGGCTTCATCACGGCTCAGGGTCCCAGCGAGCCAGCCTGTGCAGCCGGCACACGCAGGCCTGGTTAGGCTGGTGTCGGGCACATGTGCATCAGCGGTACAGTATGATGAGCAGTGGGTCACAGGGGGCCCCATGCCCCACAGCGCGGGCTTGGAGGTCTTGCAACCGCGGTGAGTTTGGACATGGCATTCATAAGGGCATGCGTCCGCTGTGTACACCAAGGTTCCTGAGGATCCATTCCTCGGAGTTCCAGGTTTGACAAACAGCCAGCATTATGGGGCTGCAGGCGGAGCCTTGACTAAGTGTTTGAAAGAACACCTCGAATACCTTGGAATCGCAGTCGGCCGCCACCGTCGCACCAGGAGCGCGCAGCCTCGGCAAAGGTGCGGCAAGCAGTCTCACAGTGCCCGTCGAGGCTAGTGAAACATCCCTGCCCGTTCCACGGCGCTCGTATCATTACTACTTAGGTTTCTGCTCGCGCGGCAACTTCTAGAAGGGTCTGCGGGTGCCCCCTTACCTATCGGCTACTGTTACGGTACATTCTGGGCCGGCCTGCCAGCGATCGTCACCACCCAGCCGTCGGCGCGGCCTAGAGAGAATTAACGACGAGCTATGTTTTTCTGAATACGTCAGCCCTTTGCCGTATTTCGTCACAGCCCCATCTGGACACGTACCGGCTCGCTGCCGCGAACGCAGTCCCGCAGCGCTTGTCGCGGAATGGAATGTTCTCATAATTATAGCTGTAAATAGATGGAAACCAGCAGCAGGTCACGCGAAAGCCCCGTCCAGGCTGCCATGGCTCCCGCCACAGTGCAGCGTGCACTTGGGGCGACCAACACGGCGCTTGCAGCTGCTGCTGCCAGTGGCGACTTCCCTCTGGACCTCTTCAACAAAATCAAACATCTCAATGACACATGCGACGCCAACAGTGGCCCGTGGTCGGTGCCCGAGCACCAGCTGCAGGCCCTGTGTGCGCAGATTTGCCCAACCAGGCCAGCCGGCACGGTGATAGGAGCCTGCTCGGCGCTGTACTCCCTCATCCGTGACAGCGGCAACGGCGCCCCGCGGGCCGTGCAGCGGCAGGCGCTCGCGTCGCGGCGGCTGCTGCCCTCGCTGCTGGCGATGGTTAAGGCGGGGCCCACGGCGCGAACTTTTGACCACGCAGTCATGCTCCTTCATGTGCGCTTTGATCAGTGCGCGTGTCGACAACCTGCGCGATTTGGCGTGGCTTCACTCTTGATGATGCAGTGTGCTTCATACTGCCGTCGCCGCTGCCAACGCCGCCGCTGCTGCTGCTGCCGCTGCCGAAGCTGATACTGCTGCTGGTGCTGCCGCCGCTGCCCCCGCTGCTGCCGCTGCTGCTTCTGCTGTCACTGCCACTGCTGCTGTTGCTGCTGCTGCCGCCGCCGCTGCTGCCGCCGCCGCTGCTGCTGCTGCTGCTTAAAATGCTGCATCCCACCCCCGCAAGGTGGGGTCAGAGCGGCTCAATCGCGATTTAACCTCTTCTGACCCCTTCTATCCCGCAGACTCTAGTCCTGGATGGCGGAGTCAACGCCGTTCTTGCCGTCTTTCACCAGGATCTTGAGGCCGTGGCAGATATCCTTGCTGACAGCGCAATCGCGGCCTCCAACCCCAGCCACCGCCGCCCCCAAGCCACCCTGTTCAGGGGCGCCGCTCTGCTCTCAAACTTTGCCTTCGAGGCAGCGAGCACCCTGCTGGAGGCGTGCCTGCGGCTGCTGGTGCGGTTCACGGGTGGGCGGTCCCGGCTGGGGGCGCATCTTCTTCGGCGTGCTGACCTGGCAGCCGTCCTGGCGACGATAGCAGACGCCGACGAGGCGGGGGAGGTTGTGGTCATGTCCGCCGCGGGCCTCCTGAACAACCTGCTGTCCACAGGTGGGCACGCCGCGGCGGCACGCGCTGCGGTCGGGGAGGGGCCCTTGGCTGTGACAACTTGCTGGAAGGGGCAGAATGCTGTCGTCCATGTGTTTGCTGGCTTGTCGCAATCTGAGCGCGCACACATTCGCGCTGCGCAGGAGCTTTCTTGGGCCCCCTGCTGCTGGTTGTGGTGCAAAAACCGCATTGCGATTGCGCCTGCCCAATCTCGTCCCAGCATACGGCCCTGAATCCCCCCCTCCCAAAAACAACCCGCTCATCTCCTGTCGTTGGTGACCTCATGCCAAACGTTGCGCCCCCCTTTGCTGCGCTTCTGGCCCCAGGTAATCGCACGGACGCGCTGCACCCCGCCGTCCGGGCCTTGATCACCGTGGTTCTCGACCGCCGGCCCAAGCTGCTGCGCACCCTCGCACGCTGGGCCGCTGGGGGCGGCGATGCCCGCCGTTTGCGCAACGCGACGGGGCTGATCGCCGGGGTGTGCGGGCAGGAGCCGCGCGCTGGATGGGATGTGGTGAGGTCGCCCAAAGTGCTGAAGGCCCTTGTCAGCAGGCTGGACAGCGAGGAGGGCGTCCTGGAATCCACGTCGGCACTGGTGGCCCTCACTTGGCCGACCGCCGGCGAGGAGCCCCCAGCGGGGAGCGGCAGCCGCTCGCGCGCAGCGGCGGTGTGGGAGGCGTGCGGGGGCACCGCAGTGCGGCGCCTGTGCGGCGTGATGGCACGGCCGCAGCGGTACCCCGAGGTGTCCCAACAGGCCCTGGTCTCACTCAGCAGCATAGTGGCCGCGGGAGGGGAGCCCGCCGCCGCGGCGCTCGTGGCGGAGGCGGCGAAGCGGCCCGCGGTCGTGGCCAGCATCACGGCGGGGCTGAGCCCTGGAGCCAGCCTGGACGGACAGGAGGTGCAGCCGGGCATGTTGGCGTGGTCGGAGTTTGTGGCCAAGAGCGGGAAGGTGGGGATCCGTTCGGCACTCGGGTTGCTGCACGTCCTCTGCACTGCCAGCTCAGCCACCGCCACTGGCGGCGGCGGCGGTGGCTGCAGCAGCTGCAGGGCACCTGCCCCAAGGAGGAAGGGCGGGGCTTCGCTGCAGCCGGGGGCGCTGCTGGCAACTCCAGGGCTGGCGGCAGCTTTGGTTCGGCTGGTGAAGGGGTACATGCTCTCGGGCGACGGCGGCGCCGCCGGCTCGTATGTTGTCAGCATCATAGGTGCCGCGATGCTCGCCCCAGGCGCCACGTGCAGCTGCAGCGGCGGCGGGGTGAGTGCTTTCGCGTACGCGCTTGCCGAGGCGGCGCCTGGCATGGCGGCTGCCCTGCGTGAGGCGCCAGTCGACGGCTCTCTCAGGCCGGGCGTGGACCTGCTGGTTGAAAGGCTCGAGGCGGCGGCGCAGCGACAGGCACAGGACATTCAGCAGCAGCAGCAGCAGCAGCAGCAGCAGCAGCAGCAGCAGCAGCAGCAGCAGCAGCAGCAGCAGCAGCAGCAGGCCAGCGGCAGCTCAGGCGCAACGGGCAGCAGGGTTGCACCAGCGGCGCCCAAAGGCAAAGCCACAACGGCGTGCGCCGTGTGCGGGAAGCTGGGCTGCGATGGAGTCAAGCTGCGCAAGTGCGCTGGGTGCATGGCGGTGAAGTACTGCAGTACTGAATGGTGAGTGATCAGAAAGCTTGTTCAGTGGCGGCATGCCCCCTGCAGCACACACCTTGGTTCCACCTGGCTTTCGTGCTACAAGTGAGTTTGCCCCGCCCCGCCCCCCCCCCAAACACACAATGACTGCTCGTGCGGCGCTTATCGTGCTGCACACCTCAGCGCCCCCCATTTGCACCTCTTTCACCTGTGTTGTCCCTCTCTTGCGCAGTCAGAAGCAGCACTGGAACCAGGGCGGGCACAAGCAGGCCTGCAAGGGCAAGCCGTCGTAGGCAGGTGTCGGTCGCCATCGGTGTTGAGGTGTGGGTTGCTGGTACAGTGCAGTGATGGGTCTCAAAGCTGATGTCATGTTGCTTGTTGCTTGTGTTTGTGTGGTAGACATGCCCTGTGCACGGTGTCTTGAAGGTGCCCCCGAAAATTGTGTTGACAAAGTGCTCTTCCTTAACCTGTGGCACCCTTGTGGGCTTGAAACTTTGATGAATCATGATAGTGATCAAGCGCCGCAGCTCGGCAATTTGCTGCGCACTGTTATAAGCACATTGGCTTCCACCGAGCTGAAGCCAGTTATGTGGTCAGGTTGGCAGTGACGCCAGTGTTTCCAAGCACATCAATGCCCCGGGCCAAAGAGCCGTTGTTGCTGTGCCGGAGGGTAACTGCTCACACGCCATGTGCCAGTTCCAGCCCTGGTGACAAAAATGCGCGGCAGCTTCGGCTATGAGGCGGGCGGGCCCTGACCCATTTGTGACGTGCGCCCCTGGCACACAGGCACTGCCAATGCAACATGCACCAGCTACGTGGCACCACAGCGGTGCACACATGACAGTGGGTGGTAAGGAACGCCCTGGGCCCGCAGGGCACGTTTGTGCTGCCAAAGGTGAGCTGGTTGGCACTGCCGCAGTACTACAGTCAATGCAATCCCAGCTCTCCCTGTACTGTCGGGCAAAAGCTGGCAGGGGGACTTCATCAGGGCTGCCCAGCACAGTGGCAGCAATACATGGGCTACACAAGGACGCACGCATGCACGCACGCGTGCACGCACCACGCACACGCCCACGCACACGGACGCACGCACGCACGCACACACGCGTACACACGCGCGCGCGCACACACATACACACACACACACACACACACACACACACACACACACACACACACACACACACACACACACACACACACACACACCTGGATGGCTCCAGGAGCGGGCGACCGCGGGATCTTGTATCAATCCTAATCCACACGCCCCAGTGGAGGATTCCCCCACTTTCCCCAAGCGCCTGGGTGTCGTGCATTATGGGAGCCAGTGTGCAGCGGGCGCTGGGCGCGGACTGTGGCCTTGTAGTTGCGAGCATGGCCCAAAAGGCAGCGAGATCCAAGCGGCAGTCGGAAAGGCGGGTGGCGCATCACCCTGAGCTGGCTGCGCGCCGGAGCTGGTTGCACGCGACACCAGCCTCTCAAGCCCAGAGGCGGCCGCCAAGGTGGCGGCTGCGCAGGCGGCGGCAGCGGCATGCTTTGACATCAACGCCCCTGTCACCGCCGCTGTGGACACTGGCAGGGGGAGGACGTCCTCGCGGACGAGTACTTTGTGGACGGCGGTGGTGCGGGCGGCGACGGGCAGGCTGCCGTGGCCAATGAACAGCGGCTGGTGGGGGCCGCTCATGAGGTTATGGGATCGGAGGAGGACGGGGCCGCGCAAGGAAGGGAGCGAGGAGATGACCGAGCAGAAGCAGCAGCAGCAGCAGCAGCAGCAGCAGCAGCAGCAGCAGCAGCAGCAGCAGCAGCAGGCCAGCAGGAATAGCAAGCAGGGCAAGGGTCTCGCGAATTCCAGGACGGTGGGCGCAGCGCCAGGGAAGCCCGGGTCGGCGGCCTAGAAGCGGCGCGGTGCGGCCGCCGCAGGCGATGGCGCTGTCGTGCCAGCTGCGGGCAGCAACGAAGTTGTCGCAGCGGTAGCTTCTGCGCCCTCCGCTGGTCCTTGCGCATGTGGTTGTAGCAGGCGCGTGGCAATGCTCCCTGCTGTGTCCTCGCTGCTGGACGGCAGAAAGGTTGGTTGGGAGGCTGCTGTCTGGGTCCGGGACGGGCAACGTGGTGCATGTGAGGGCCCCAGCAGCCTCTTTGCTGCAAGCCCTCAGCCCTGCTCTCCCCCACGTCCCCCGCGCGCCCCCCCCGCCAGGAGTTCCTGGACTGGTTCAAGGCCAAGAACATGGTGGCCTACAGCGTCAGCGCGGGCCAGAGCCTGCTCTACAACAGCATCTTCCCCAAGCACAAGGACCGGCTCGGCAAGAAGGTGCGGCCCCCGGCTTGAGGG